TCCACCACCGACTAGACTGCGGATTGGCGGACTTCACATATCGTTGAAATTATTTTTTAATTTTTCGAAAATATGCAGGTTTCCTCACGATAATTTCCTCACCGCTGATCACGTGATAAGTCAGCACTTAAAATTAACAACTTCTTTGGCACCGGGGATTTAACTCCATATTGATATGAATTGTATATAGAATTGATTGGTAAAAAATATTTTTTTAAATATTTAATTATTAAATTACCAAATTAAAAAACGTAAGGCTAATTATTCTCTCAAACACGTATTCTTATACATTATATTGAATATCTAAAATGATATATGTAATATTAATAATAATGTACAAACGAATAATAAATCACTTATTTGTGTAAATAATAATCAGTGCATAGCAATATTAATTCGTTTTATTTGAATTTTTATAATGAATTTTGCGAAATTAAATCCCTAAATCCGCGCTTAATTGCTTCGAACATGTTTAGTGCCGAACAAAATATGAACAAATCAAAGAAAAATATACCGCCAAATATAAACTAGTAATTCTCAAGTATGCTGCTTAGGAAACCTATCAAAACCACGATAAAAATCGAAGTAAATCCAATTATATTAGCTAATTTGTGCCTCAATAACAACAAAGCTTGGCCAACCGCGTCATAGCAAAACCCAACGCATCATCGGGAACGGGAACAACAAAAACGCATCGAAATCAATCTGATTATTTCGTCTTGACTTTAACTATTGTTAGCGCGCCGATCTGTTTCTTTGATAGCGAGCGATCGGATCGATTAAATTTCCTTAACGTCATTATGTCGAATGTCTTGAATTTTTGACGTACGCTATCGAGTGCGTTATCGTATAGCGGCTGAGAACGTCTTCTTGGTAACGTTTAAGTATCAACTCATAAAACTATCAATAAATAATGTTCCTTCTTGTCTTTGTTTTAACGATGAACTGCAAGGAATTAAATATTAGTTCACAAATTTTAGTTATGATTTCCGATAACCATTTGATGTTAAACAAATTATAGAAAACTCATTAAATTTAAAAATAATTAAAGTATAAATTTGAAAATGTTAAGGTATTAATTTCAAAAAAATTGTCGGAGATAAAATATGATCAACGTCGGTTGTGTAAATAATAGAACCATTTACTAAATTATTTCTTTTACGATGAGTGAAAAGTCCGAGTAATATAGGAGTTTCAAAATATCTTACCGATGTACTTATCATATAAACTTCAATTCTCATTTCACTGGTCTCATACAAAGATTTTATTTTAAACCATCTACTAGTTTAATTTTTAATTCGAGTATTCGTATCGCGTCACACGGAATTACAAAACATTTTATGCCAATTAGATGCAGACTGGATTAATTGTCAAAAATTCTGTATCCTGTTATAGGATCGCAAAAATGTGGTATTGGGCATACACTGTGTATATTAGGTGTGGTAGGATCACGCAACATTTAGTTGTTGCACGAATGGGCAGGTCCATCCGGGGAAGTACCACCAACTCACAGAAGACCGGCGTGAAGTGGAAGTGTTATACTTCTGCGTTTCGTCTGGTAAGTGAGCCGGGGCCCACTTTATTAACAGGTGGCAACGCATCTGCAACCATACGGGTGTTGCAAATGTCCATGAGCGGTGGTTATCATCAGCTGGCGATACGCCAGCTCGCTTGCCACCTTTTCACATTGAAATAAAACACTAAAATGCTCAGCTTCCCCAAGCTCAAAGTGAAACTTCCTTCCACTTTGAGTTTTTTACGGTGGAAGCAAAGCTGAAGTGGAAGGAAAAATAAATATCTATTAATAGAAGTTATAAAACAATATAATATTCTGGCCATAAACTAATGTGTCCAAGAAGAATTTACACGGTCCACCCGATGAACCACCGTGAACATCGGCTATTTCACGCCGAAAAATATGTTAGGAATGCTCGGCTTTTTGTCCGCGGCCGACGCGTAAACGATTACTTATTAAACCGATACATTCTCGATTTGTCATGTGATGAAAAAGCACGGGTCACTTTCTTGCAACCGCCGCTGTGACCCCCGCGTAACGGCCGGGCGGCTCTGGAAAGTTCCACGAAGTAAATGACTTCGTTCATAAGGACTTTTATAGTTCGTTTTTTGTTGTGTTTTCTTCTTTTCCATTTAGCTTCAAGTTTTGAAATGTTGGACAAACTTTTATGAGCAATTGAGAGTCTAGGTTAAGGTTTTTTATGCAGTCAAAAGAAAACAAAAGCTTATCTAAGCTTGATCAAATGCCATGCCATTAAACGTTTAAAGTTAAATCATTCAATTTAACGATTAAAATATGAGAATTTGTTATGTTTTCGGTTACAAAACATTTTTCTATTTTATAACTAAACGCCACGCACTTGAGGTCAGTAATGAGGAGGGGAAACTTATCTTAAATCCAAAATTAAAATTTTATAAAGTCATACATTTATTTGTCTCACGACTTCTTTTTAATGTTTTGTAAAATTATAAAAGTGTACAGGAAATTTAAAAAGGTGAAGAAAAGATGAAATTAATTTAACTTTCGATATGACTTTTAGCCCTCATATTGAATTACAAACATCGGAACTGATCAAGACAGTTTTGTAACGCATTATTTCTAGCGATTATTACAGTAGTACGTACGGAGTAGATATCGACGAGAGTCCTGCTCCCAAAATCAATTCTACACCTATTATAATCACATTGAATTCCTCTAAACATTATTAAGCGCCGTTTAACGCACCCAACCTGCCAAGGGCCATCTGAACATAAACAATAAAACAAACAACTGAATACGGTGCTTAAATCTTTCATAATGCACCCACGGCGGCCAATCATCCTTCATTTTTTCCCACAATCAGCGCGACGCCGAAGAAAAAAAAAAGGCCAATCACTCGAACAAATAAAAATGAGGGACGGCGTAAGGACTCCCAGGTGAGATGAAAGCGCCGCGGTACAATGCTGTGCCGCGACTTCAGCCGCATACTAACGCGACAGGAAAGCGGTAAAGGAAGTGTTCTTTACCGTTGTTTTTTTACCGTTTTTCGGTAAAACTTCCAACTGCAACACGCTACACATCCTGATACGTTTTACGCCATGTGTGTTCACAAAGCAGGAGATGTTACATGCGTGACAGACACGTGTTTATATCTTAATGGTTTCTTGTGTCACGGTGTAATGGTGAAAATATCCATATATTAGTTGCATTTAACAATTGACAACTTTAGTCATGTTTCCGTTCATGCATTCTTGTCCTACACAGAAATCAAAATACCTATTGGTAATTACTTGTACTTGTATTATTTATGGATATAACATGTTTGCAAAGAATATGCTCCTTTCTTATGACATAAACAACAAAAATTATTCTATCGATAGGTATTATGATCAGTAAACTACCTGGTGATTAACGAGATGATGAATAATGCAAATTTTTGCTTCCTTCAATTTTTAAGTGACTTTCAAGAAAAAATCAAAAAATCAAAATCAAATCAAATTAAAAAAAATTATTATTATTTCGAATGTTCAGAATAACTTATTTCGAATGATGTAGGAAACAAATAAACGCAAACAATGTATTTCCAGTTAGCCTCACTGTAGCAATAAATCGAAACATCCTGTGTCCGCTAAGAAACTAATAGGTCCGCGGATTATGGAAATACCAATCACATAACACCATGCCGACCAACGACACCTGTCCGGAACACTATATCCGTGCATTGTTTCCAATCCTAGCGTATCTCATTTTTCTCGAAGGCAATTTATTGTGCATTAATAAAATCAACAAAAAAATATAGACGTTTCTTTACCGTTAACGAGTGCAATTATTCATATTTTATTTTGTCATTTCCATATATTACATGTATATAAATGTTTGTAATATTTGCATCCCTAGCAGCACCTACCATAAGCTCTTTCATTCTGACACTTTTTGAATTAAGGTTTGCAATAAAACTTAAATAAATTCTATTAACGATAATTGAATAATAATTGGTAATGGAAAGTTCTGGAGTCCTGAAATAAATATTTATTTAAAATAACACATGATTTTAAGATTTTATTCATCATACTAGGGCAGCAGATCTAATCTCTTATATTCGCCAAAACTAAACAAGTTTAAATGAAACTGTTTTCATCGAGTTATTTTAAGTTTTACGTTTCAAAGACTGCAGTATTCGTGGTCGAGGGACTAAACCCAAGGGCAGTATATTTTTATGCTTATCTTTATTTAATTAATTAATTAAATAAGAACAATAATATGACCAGATCTTTAATTTTGTTAGATAAATACAAATACAAATACAAATTACTTTATTTCCAAAAAAAAAACTTCTACGTTTATGCCTTATGAACTGACCCCCACACTAGGCTGTTTCCTGTCCTGTGGGGAATAAATATTACGATCTACAGTTTGATTTACGTTAATATAATAAATCGTATTACGTTAATATAAGTTATGAAAAAAAATTTGTTCCGTTCTTTAAACGAGATGTTTCTGTTATTCAAATTACGAATTTGAATAACTGAAACATCTTGTTTAAAATTCATAATGATAAAGATAACATTTCAATGCAGCAAAAGTAATTAAAAGCATTTCCTATAAATGAAACTATTTTTTACAGATTTCTCGCGTTTATTTTTAATTTTAATTCCCGACGTTTCGAACCGTTTACAGCGTTCATGGTCACGGGACAGACTGTCTCGTAACCATGAACGCGATAAGTCCGTAAAAATTAGTTTCATTTATACTATGTAATCGCGTAAATACAATAAATTATCAAGCATTTCCTATGACAGAACGATTGATATCACACACACTATCTTCTCATAAATATCAAATAGTGGCACTATTAGACTCGATTCATCGAAAGCATAATTTTTCGCTCGTTTGAATATAAATAGTAAAGTATTTATAGTAGAGGTAGTAAACTACCTCCTATTTGTGCGATTACTGAACATGTGAAAATATTAGCACGACTGTTAACATCTACATAGCTTTAGAAATGTTGAATTTTTACTCAATAAGGTTCGAGCCCACAAAGTCGACGAAGGGCGCTAGCAAGATGCGCAGAGACCTCATAAACGCGGAAATCTCTAACTTGCGCGACCTGCTACCTCTACCGCCCTCCACGAGGCAGCGGCTCTCACAGCTGCAGCTTATGGCCCTCGTCTGCGTGTACGTCAGGAAAATGAACTATTTCCAGCAAGGTGAGCGTTTGGAATCAATTTTAGGTGTATAATAGTATATAGTATCAGATAAAAACTACGGTAGTTGGAACAACGTAAAATGAGTGATCTGCATTTAATGATCTGAAAAAAAACTGAAAAGTCGTCGTCATCATCATTATAGTCCAGATTTGGTGATATTTTTATGTGTATTCAGTAAAGTAAAGAATCGTTCGTACAGAAAATCCTTTTTCGAAATAAAATGGATCTTAAAAATGTGTAGATAAAGCGATCATAAACTCATAGATTCGAATCCTGGCGGGGCGGCTAAACATTTTTCTAACATTTTATCTATATATTTTTATATACTGTTCCGAGTTAGTTTGTCACATAAATCGTGAATTATTACAACTATTGGATTAACGTAAAACGTTACTGATTCGCAAGAATTTAATAACATAAGTAACAACAACGCAATTATGTTACCACGTCATTGCAAATAATACCACTGACATTGTATTTAATACGCGACGTTAATAAACATCACAAAACTTTTCCATCTCTGTATCCGCGTAAGATTTCCCCGCATCTTTTCCCATGTCCCAAATCTTCTCCTAACCATCACGTGCTCTGTTATCCTAAATCTCGTCCCGTCTTCGAGCCGTCTCCCAAACTTTGTCAGCTCACCTCCAGTCACGAAAACGCATATTAAGACGTTTAAAATACATTTAGTCCGCTATCTTATCTTGCTTTGCTATTACTTCACCCATAATTCCGTCTTTCTTTCTGTTTTAGTGTTCAAAAGTCACGACTTCAGCTATCAGTATCAAGAGCAAGCGAGTCCCACACCTAATATCGGATTTTCAAAGGTATATGTCTTTTTCAAGTTTACGACCCGTTGCAGTGAAACCATTAAAACAATATTGCTTACGTTTACAATGTGCGTTTCAGGCAATGAACGGTTTTATGATGATGATGACACAGAACGGGAAACTACTGTATATATCGGAGAACGCCGCGGAATACTTAGGACACTCAATGGTTTGTATTTCGAGAGCAACATTATTACTCGCATATTAACAAGATAGATTTTTATTATAAGATAAGTTGGTAAACGAGCTGGCGGTTCACCTGATGTTAAATGATAACCGCCGCCCATGGACATTTGCAAAACCCGTAGGGTCGCAAATGCACTGTGACCTTTTAATAAAGTGGGCTCCGGCTACTTATTTACCGGATGAAACGCAGAACTACAACACTTCACGCTGGTCTTCTGTAAGGGCGTGGTCCCCGGATGGACCTGCCCATTGGTGCAACATTAAGACTACCACATTAAGACATTAATTAATTGAATTATTGATAGAAAATATTAACGAATTACATATTTCAGGAAGACTTATTAATACATGGCGATAGTGTTTACGACATTATAGACAGACAGGACCACCAAACTGTCCAAGTCGAGTTGAATAGAGGCAGCAATGGCGAGACTGAAAACGTACCAAAGAGTAGACATTTCTTCTGTAGGATGAACGTTTCAAGAAACGCTAGGCGTCAGATGAGATTTGGCGACCAAAAAGTAAGTGAAGCTCATCGTTGCCTATTACCCCAAAGTTAGACCACCGATAAACTTGTTATAATATTTCTAACATTGAAAGTTCTCGTTCAGCTTTTCAACCATTGTACGCTGTCTTTTTTATCCTTGATATTCTTACTTTTTCATAATTATGAATTCGTAACGTAGGTACTAATACGTGAACTTTGTTGCCGTATTAAATTTATAGAACGACTGCGAATCAACTTAGTTTTTGTTTCAAATTTTAAATTTAATATCTTCATAGATGATCCAGTGACGGTTGATGTATGTTTTAGGTAGTTCTTGTAAGAGGCCACTACGTGTCGTACCTGCCGCTATGTAGTCGAAATGAACCAGTGTTCCTAGCTGTTTGCACACCCCTCGCCATGCCGGAGACCAGGGAGTGCGTAGTCAACGGTGCAACCAACGTCTTTACAACCGTCCACTCCATGGACATGAAGATCCTACACATCGACGCTAAGTAAGCACACCTTTGCGAACATAAACAACTTCAAAGTCATTCAAATATATATCGTACTAAGTGGTAACACAATAATAATAAATGACAACTTAAAATATATGAGGTGTTAAATACTGGAAGTTGAGGAAAACAACTCGTTAAACATAATGCATTATAAAATTTACTGTGCAGTGACGTGAATAAGTGGATGAATTGGCTGACTAGCGATTTTCCCAGCCTGGCCCTTCGATTTATGAGTAATTCACAACATGATCAATTCGCCACTACATAATGTGCAAGCGATACCTCCTAAAACATCATAATTGTTTTGTTGTAACCAATATTCTTTAAAGTACTAAAGCTAGTTTACTAAATCTTCCATAAAAACAATTCACCACAATGAGATCTCAAAATGAAATAATCGTATCTACAACAGGAACCCGCGCATTGAACTCGATTAAAAACCGCAAAAAAAAAAAAAAAAGATTAGCTAACGGTCCGATATCTTATAAAATGGCAGGCGCTTTCGGACAACGGTATTCTTAATCTACTTTGGGGACGAAGATTAATTGATAAACTAGTTGTAAAGTGATTACGACCGAAAATAATTGTAGAATTTTAATTTTGATGAATTTTGAAAGCAAGACGTTACAAAATGCATGTTTGAAAAAATTCAGATAACGAAAACCAATAGTCCCATCAAAATAATTATAAATAAGTCATGATTAGCCTCATTTTAACAGTATCATTGGATTATTTAAGATTCTGTAAGTTAAATAATCTTTATATTGCAATAACACAATATTTAAGCAGTTTGTGCAAATATAATTTTTTTTTTAATTATGCTTGTTTCAGCGGAGAGTGGTATCTAGGTTGGAAGAAAACGGAACTAGCGGATGTATCGTGGTATCAAATACTTCATTACGACAGTTTACGAGAAGCGCAAACGAAACACAGATTAAGTAAGTAATATCTTGGTATAATAATTTTTATATTTAGTTTTCTAAAAAGTTATGGTAACACTTGCTAGGAGATCTGTATACTTTTTTTAAAATTGTTATTATATTTAGTTCACCTAGCGTTTAAGTATAATGTAATGTATTAATTTTATGTATCTATTATACCAATACATACCAATTATCTTCTATATTTGGTGTCAAGTTTGACTGATGTTATGTACGAGTATATTATTATTGCAGTTTTAACTTTAGATGCACGAAAGTACAGACAGGGCGTCTCTTGTTTTTATTTTGATTTGTATTGTCAAACATTCTTTAGCTCGATAGAGAGAGATGTCTGTCTCCTTTTTTTTTTTTTCTTTTTTTATGTGAAGAGTTGCCAAGCGGATAGACGGTTCACCTGTTTTTAAGTGAATACCGCCGCCCATAGATATCTGCTACACCCGAGGGTTGCAGATGCGTTGAAAATTGGGCTCCGGCCACCTCACTCACCAGACGAAACGCGAAAGTATTACACTTCCTTCCACTTTACGCCGGTCTTCTATGAGGTCGTGATACCCGGAAGAACCTATCCATTCGTGCAATAGCCGAGGCTGCTGCGTGGTCCTACCACCGTAAAACCTTCCCTTCCCTCCTCCTCTCAACTGATAAATCTTCCTGATCAGTGTCTACATAAAGCTTCTAGAGATCATTTCATTGCTGCAGTAACACAGTCGGAGCAGGACAAATGCTGTATATTGCTCGTGAAGCTGCAGCAAAGGAGCGGCCAATTCCTGTGGGTGCACGTCGTGCTGCAAGTGAAGGATGCAGCTGACACGCCCCGGCAGTTCATTGTCGCTACTAATCAGATCCTTAGGTATGTGAGTATGAAAAAAACAATAAACATTTAATAAATCAAACTATATTTACGGATTTATCGCGTTTATTTTTTAAATTGTATGGTGACCATGAACACTGTAAAGGGTTCGAAACGTCGGTAAATAAATAATGTGATAAATCGTTATAGTTTAATTTAATAATGTCTAATTGCGTAAATAGACGAAATTATCAATAAACATTTAAGACACAAAAAAAAAGCTTACAAAGGCCAGTTAATCGCAGGAAGCAAAAGTATCCAATAAGTTTTCATTTAATTTGGTAAAATATGTGACCGGGGCTTACCCTCTCGGAGGTTCATTGCCAGTGCTAGCTCCAGGATACTCTGAACGTCTAGAGAAAATATTTACCGATATCAGTTATTCCGCCAGCACATGCGACATCCTCGTATAAATTATGACCATGACAAGACGCGATGTACAAAGCTAAATTAATAAAAAGTCGTTCGGGCGTTTTAGTGAAGAAGAAGCTGCCATAATGCTGGCCAACTCCTGGCTGTACCAGTACTACGGCTACCAGAACCAGCCCTGCGGCATGATAGACCCTCGCTGCCAGAAGTTCTTCAGGCGGGACCAATGTTACCAAGAGCCGTACCAAGAGGGGTATCCGTACATAGAGAACACAGAAGTAGACTACACGGGGTATCACGTTTCTTCGTACGTGACCCACAAGCCTGAAGAATATGGATGCGAAAGAATATACACTGACAGAGGTCCCGTCGATTACTCAACCCACTCCCCTCAATCGACGATTAGTGAAGAGAGGTACGTTCTCTGATAATCTTAAGTAGAGGTTGGTTAAATGTGGTAAATGAATACAGCAATGATCAATCTCAAGTATTTTTTTATGTGAAAAAGTGGCAAACGAGCTGGCGGGTCACCTGATGTTAAGTAATAACCGCCACCCATGGACATTTGCAACACCCGTAGGGTTTTAAATGCGTGCCACCTTTAAATAAAGTGGTCCACGGCTACCTCACTCAGAAGTTTAACACTTTACGCCGGTCTTCTGTGAGGTCGTGGTAATTACCCGGACGGAGCTGCCCATTCGTGCAACAGTGAAAAATGTTGCGTGGCCCTATTTCGTAAATTTTCAAGAAACTTTACACAACATTTATACACTCTACTTTCAGTTAAAGATCTGATCCTAATAAAAATGTGACATGTCCGCAAACATCAAAAATCAAATCATTATATAAATTATAATACAATATTTGTTATATAGTCGCTTTGTTTAAAAATGCGAACCGAATGTGGATCGACTTCAAACATGAAAAATGAACACAAATGAAATCAAGCGATATTCATAAAAGTATAACCAAGTAGCGTAACATTCAGTTACCATTATCGTTCACACATAAAACTTTATCTAGAGACATAAAAACAAACAAAGTACAAGGTCGCTAAGCACAATTTGTACTCGTCATGTCACAGAGGCAGGCGATGGAATATAAATAAGAAAATCATCACCCCGCCCGTCCGCGTGTCCGTCCGCGTAATTTGACACCTTTCATTACCATATTTATTGTAAAGCCTCTCCGACAAACTAAACTTAGATGTGCTTCAAATTATAACGATACTTTAACACTTTGTAATAAGGTCTCAAATTGAGCACTTGATTATGTCGTAATTGAAAAATTTAGCTATCGAGCTGACCAAATAAAAAGGCAAGTTGAAATGAGTCCGAATGGAGTGACTTGATAATAGAAGTTAAATTTAGAGTTGCTTCAAATTGTAGTCATATTTTAGTATTTTTTACAATATTCTTTGGATCTTTTCGAACATTTTTCTTTCGTAAATTTTTAATATTAAGTATTATTTAATACGTTCATTGGCAATCACGCGGTATTGCGAGATAGGCCGCGGTCTCCAAATGGCCAACCACGCGATATCTAGCATCGTGATAATATGTAGCATCGTATTTATATACATATAAAGTTGAGTTATATTGAGCAAAATAAACACTAAATAGAAGAAAAAACCACATGGCAATGAACGTGTCAAGACTATGACTTGAAAAAAAAAACTATGAAAGTAAACGCCTTTATTTAATAACGATAATCTTAGTACACGACTGCCCAAACTGGACTTCTAAACTGGAGTACTAATTTGTAGGCTATAGCGCTATACTTGTCAATCTTCCACAGATCACCCCACCACTATGAGGTGGCATCGGACATCATCGTTAACAGCAACATGTACATGTACCCTCATCAAGGGAAAAGGGAATACTATGAGCAATACCAGAGGGTGAATTATACCAACCAGGATATATGTTCGACAGGAACCATCGAAAGTAAGTATTTTACAAGTCCAAAGTGCAAAAATATACTTTAATTACATAATTCATATTTATATTTAATAAAACTGGTTTACGGGTATTATCGCGAAATAATAAAAAAAAAACATTCAATTTAAATTTCTAAATCTTTTGTTTAAAATCCATTACCACTAAGCATCTTCGCCATTGTTGATCCTGTAAGACTCTCCCTAAAGCTTTTTCAAATAGAAAAACTAAGCATACAATTCGCCTCTCACTTCGCAAGGTATGGACTACCCAGCGGCGAAGCGTATGCGACTGGCGCCTACTGTCACCCTCGATGGCACTGACGGCATGGAGAGGTGGAACCCTAGCCCACCGTGGTCTGACACAACCCTAAAGCTGACAGACTACGGGCAAAGGTTCGCATACAACATGCTACCGATGCCGCCGGAAAGAGCGATGGTCACCTAAACAATTGTCGTTAATATTTTGTTATATATCATCAATGTATGTGTTCCTCTTATGAACTAGAGTAATTTGTTTCCTATGTATATGATATATCCGAAGCGTTTTGCTGTGTGACCGTGAAAAATTCCCCACGCACATTATCCGCCTCTTTCTTTATTACTATTGAAGGGAGATAAAATAGCAAATATGGATTATTTAGTTGATTTCTCAATAAAACCGCAAATTTCATCTTAATCGGGATAAGGTTAAAATTGTCTTACTCGATAACAATACATAATCAGTGATGTTCATTAAAATATGTAGTGATGTTCATGTTAATCAATAGGGATTGTCGATTGTATTTGTTTATTGTAATCAGTTTTTATGAACATCGGTCGATAATTTTGATTTTTGATTACTGTTGTAATACACATTAATCAAATGCCGCTTTTAATATGAGTCATATTTGAAGAAGATGAGGTTATAGGTTTTTGGTAAATTTGACGCCATATAATTCATTTAACTGGGCTGTAAACGCCCCACACATTCACAAACCACCTGCCTTGTAGTCACACTCATAAACTTAATTAAAATTATGCAAAAACGACGAGAGTATTGTATACGGTAACGGCTGTAAAATAATATTGTGGATACAATCTCGCCAAAGGTACAACAAGGCATTGGATATTGTTAATAAACAATTATTTCAAAACGGTCAAAGTTTAAATAGATAGGATAAAAGAGCATTTATAGTAAAAATATTAAAACTTTCGAATTATGAAACATTGATTGTTAGATAGTTATTAAGCATAAAATGAAATATTTGTCAGTATTTTAATTTAAGAATTTTAAATAATAAGATTTAGCTTTGATTTAATTTATATGCGTAGTGGAAATCGATTCCATCCAAATATTTGTGCATTGTATTCCAAAGGAATAGTTTAATTTAATACTATTATGTAAATATACATTAAAACGATAATGTTGTTGTGTAAATATTGGTATTAACTTCAACATCAGTGCTTTTAATTGAATATACCAATTAAATTTATACATAAATCCACAATTTTTTATTTTTTCCCTTCCTACAAAATAACATTAAATCTATATTACGTGCTTCAAAATATATTGTTAAGCATATTAATTATTCAACAGACGTCTGCATATTTTGAACTAGATTTATAATTTGCGATGTTATATTGTGTTGTACTTTACTCTTTTGGGCTAAATCAGGAACTTCCCAGTTAAGAAAATATTATTATATTAATTTTGTCGTCTCATGACATAATTACCAATAAATCCCTACGACGCCACTGAGGTGACGCTCGGCTGTTTAAAAATATATCAGCGAATACAAAGTTCCACTTTACAAACCGTTTAACACCCAAGGACTGGAGCCTAGTATTCTGAACGCAAGGTCAAATAAATTAGTATGTACGTCTGGATGCAAATTCGTTAGTAACAGCAATTACTTGGTATTGGCCAGCACGTTAAAACCCCAATCGATACCGATGGAATTGCATAAGTAGCGCGAATTATTTAGAATGCATACGAGACGCATTAGCAGTCACAGTATCAAAGCTGTTAATAGATGTAAAGCGCTTGTCAAATCCAGTTTTAGAGATCTCCAATACAGCCGTCCTCGTATAGCAGGACCGCAGCACAAGATCTACTTTGAGGAAGCGGCCTGGATCAATTTACGCTGGTAGCGCTACAGCCGTCAAATAGACAAAAGCTTAGCCCGCTGAAGTTTGGTCCAATTTAAAAGCTCGTTTAAAAAACTCAATAATTATAGAGTAGTATAAGTTACACTGTTAATCTTAAATAAAAAAGTTAAAAGTGAACGTGTAATAAAGAAGTCGTGAAAGATTTATTAATGATGAATTAATTCGTATTTCCACATAACAATCTATGTGATTAAAAATTAACAGAACATGCTGCGCATAACTAATATTATACTTACCAAAATTTTAAAATAAACGTGGAGTTTCAATATTACAATGTGCAGAGGAAATATCTCAACTTACTAAAATTATGTAATAGCAACGATAACTAAGCTTGACATCCGCTTATTACGTACAATAATCATACAATAATCTTAGGAAAAACATATAATATTAGTGATTATCTTTCAATTTTCTTTTTTCTTACTAAAAAAGCAAATTTAACTACATATGATTAAATATTTGCATTTATTTCTTTAAGAATAAAAATAAAATGGTACTATAACATAATATTTATCATTCCATACGTAAAGAGCACAATAACGAGGTGTTTCCTTTCGTAATAAGAATATGATAAAAAAAAAGTTCTATTTTGTAAAATAAAATAAGTAATAATTAATAAATAATTAATTTTAAAAAAATGAATACAAAATCCTAGAACGTCATCGCTGACGACAACAATGTGTTTCATTAACCGCAGTCCGCTTGTGACTTAAACCATAAAAGCTCCGGTGAGCCCCTGATCCATTGTTATTGCAATCTTGCCTGACGGACTGCGGCTATGATGAATTATTGATGTGTAGGAAACTACGTGATCCACAGCCTACCCTGGATTACCTACAAAGCGGCTAAGGGCGATGTGGCCTATACGATTAATTATAACTTCAATTGGAATAAACAAACATCACTTTCTGGACATTATCGATAGTTGAACAAGTTAAAAAGCTTTTTTTAAATTATGTTATACAATGTTTTTTATATAATATTAACTACTTTGTCATGGGTATGTGCGATTTATATAATTGTATCTTGATATGGATTATAGTGCGCTTTATGAAGCAATCATCTTGTCATTACTTCTATCAAGATTTAATACTCCATTTGTAGGGAATTTTCTTGTCGGTTTTTCTGATGAATGGAGTAAATTTATAAATCAATCTGTTAGTTTTTCGACTTAGCAATCAAAACAACCCTTAAGTTATTTATTATGACTAAGTATGTGTTTATAACATTACATAACAAGAGAGAGATTAACAGAGCATTTTTCGCCAAAATAGACGTTTTCAGGAAAGAGATAAATTCAAAAAGGACACTAGACTTTGGGAAAAAAAAGATAACCTGTGAAAGTTACAAATACAATTTCAAGAAGTAACATTAGATAGTAAATAAAACAACTAAATTTATAAATAATATTCAGCATCGTTGATTGGGCTAGTTAGGTCGTTTGTTTAGTTTTTGTTATAGTTAAGCAATTACGTTTTGTTTATACTAACCAGTACTAACATTACGAAATACGTTGCGACATGATTTGGAACAATCTAACTTATACTAACTTTTTATCGCGATGCAAGGAATAAATCCCAATACTGAACAGAGTGAATTTCATAAAACTTAAATTATTTGAGCTTACTACAAGCCCCGTTACCACCCTATAAATATTCAACGTTCCGATTAAACAGAAGTGAGTATCCAATAAAAGCGATCATCGTTACATATTGCATGACCAATCCTGGCACTTTGGTGGCGTTGACTGCGTTTGCATAGAGGCATTCGTTAGCTGAAAACAAATTAATAAATTATACCCAGCGCAGTTAGGAGCGGGGCCCGTGGGAAATGCGAGGCGACCAGCGGCTAATTCATTTAACTGGGCTGTAAACACACAACGTACGTGATTAGTGTTTGTTTAGATTAGATCTGTTATGGGTTTTGTGATTGCCATCGTATATTCTGATCACTTATTATTGTTTATAGCCCTTCGACTGTTGCTGAGGTATTGCGAGTATAAATTACACTGTATGTCTTAATAACTAGGTTCAGATACTGTATGCATATAGATCTGTATATTTTTAAAAATAAAAATTGTGCTTTGTTACATTGATGCTTATGTAAGATTTAATTCATTTAATTGATGATGTGATGTTTGTTAATTGTTGGTAGGTAGTGTGTGTCTGTTTCAGTAGTTGTTCATTCACTTCATACAAAATTGAGTTAAATTATTTTTCCTTTTTCTTTCCTTGTATTATGTTTGTTCAATCAATTAATCTTAACATTGTTACACTGAATAACTAATTAACACCAAGAACCAAAGTACTTCGCTTACAAAAATGTAAAACAAAATCATTGATAAGAAAAACTGTGATCAAAGTATATTAATAACGCTTCATATTTTAACTGGAACAAGTCTCTACACCAAAGAAAATACTAAATTCAGTGGCACACGTCACAAGGGTTCAAACCAGCACTTTGATTTATTGAATGTTCTTTAATGCACACACCATGGTAAAAAAATACGTTAAAAATAACAATTACGCAAGGATTGTACAACGGGCGGCCTTATTGCTTAAAGCAATTTCTTCAAGGCACTTTATTACTATATGAGGGTATTCTGTGAGGTTCCTATGACTACTCTGTAATGAAACGACTCAACCCCATCGAGTTTCGGCTCATTTGATTCGTCTTGGCGAGTACTTAATTTTTAGATGGTTACCAGGGTCTGATCTCACGATGGAAGTGGAAGATAGTCATATGAACTCAGTAAAGAAATGACGCAACGCTATTGCGTCTCGGCTCGTTTGATTCGCCATGACGAGTTCTTTGGTGCTAGATGGTAACCAGGGTCTGATGACAGAGCTGGAATGTGGCCATACGAATTGAGTAATTAAAGAACACAACTGCGTCGAGTTTGATTGGTCTCAATGGGTGGGTTTTTGATGGGTGGTGAGATGTCGTGGTTTAGTGGACGTGAGTGGGTATGCGAGACCATCTTTGGGAAATAAAGTTTTCTATGAATGTGGATTCTTAAATTTGTAGATTCTGGACGTGGATTCTGTCTTTGATTAGATGGATTAGAAGCGCTGAATATTATGAATGAATGAATGAATAGATATTTTTTTTTGTTATTTATGAAAATTTTTTTAATGTGGACGATGTAATTTTATTTTGTGTACGGCTATTTTAGTTTTCATTTGGGTTGATTATATATTATTACTAACCCGTGTCCCGATAGTCCCGTCTTAGGCTACTTTTCATTAAATTGGAGCCAGCGTGCGGAGTAGAGGAATAGAAAATATTATAACC